GTTATATTGGTTTATAATCCATATATAATCTGCTTGGTGGTTTGGAACATGGCTTGTATGACTTCCATTTCATATATGGGATGTCATCCTTCCCATTGACGAACTCCATCATTTTTCAGAGGGGGTGGCGAAAAACCACCAACCAGGGAAACTCAGGATCTGAATCTCAACGGTTTGGGGTTGAACATGGATCCAGCAAAGGACAGCAGAACCTGCGAGTTTTGATGAACAGGATTTTCCAGTGCGCCATGTTTAATTACAGAAAGGTAGTATGAGTCAAATGATTTCTATCCTCAAAATTGGTCAGGTAAATAAGGCACAGGAAATCCTACAAACAAACGAGGTGCATTGCTCTCTGGGTCTCAATTTCTGATGCACACCCTGGGTATGGTAGTTTGGCAGGTGAGAAAAAACACCACTTCCATCTCGTTTTTTGGCTTTGGATTTGGGGCAAAGTTAGGCTTTTTTCCGGCAAATGGCATCATACTGTGGATGGAAAAAATCCTGCATCACCTTGGATGGTTGAAGCCCCATATGACATCAGGACAGTTCCATCTCAACCATCATTAACCATCATTAACCATCATTAACCATCATTAACCATCATTAACCATCATTAACCATCATTAATCATCATTAACCATCATTAACCCACCAACCACCAACCAGTTCCATTATTTTTCAGGACACTTCCATCTTAGCGGTTGATTTTTTTAAATCACGATGGTGGCCCAATCCACTGAGTAACCCCCCAGTAACACAGGTGCCCCCATGATGGTTCAGGGGATACCAAGTTGTGACCTGATCATCTGCTTATCTGCTTACACCCTTATGTTGCTTGGCCCTGTAATGTTGAGGTGTTTTTTTTCGAGGATTTCCAACTTTCAGAAATTTCCTATTTGAGGACATGTCAATGTTGTCAATCCCATCCCCCTAATACCACGACGGCAAGTTTTGAATCTGTGGCTTTCTGGACGGTTTTTTGACATTTGATATTAGAGGCACACAACATCATTTTACTGCTCAATTGCTCTATTCAATTTTTTAAGCGTTGGTTTAGCACATAGTTTACAATCGTTTATAATCGTTTACATGATTCTGGAGGGATTGTAGTCAACACTTACATGTCTAGTGTTCCTTGGCTCCTTGGGGCATGGATTTCAAGGGACATCAGACGCAGCAAAGTGAAACGAATTTCGCCAGACGGGATTGACAAGTCACCAAAATATTGGAGACCAACTGCTGATATTGGTCCTGGTTAGTAAGATCAATTATAAGATGGCGCTTCCGAGTTATAAGTTGGTTTATAACATTTTATAACCCCATCTGAATAGAAGAATATATAAGTATAATACACTATAAGTATAAAAGTATAATACACTATTTTATTTTATATAGTTATGTTCAGCTTGCAAACGAACTGGGGCCCCATCCTGCCATGAGCCCCATCCGGGACTCGTGGCATCGCTGCAGTGCGGAGGCCAAAACTCGTGAGTTGCGGCCCTGCGCCCAGCTTCTCGCAGCTTGGCGCAGATCAATTTGGCTCATGAAAATCAATATCGGGATGGGTCAAAAGCTATAAAAATTACTGGGGTTTGATGCACTGATTAGCAATGGAAAATAAATTTTCATAAACCAAGCATTTGTCATAAATTTGGTTTCATGGTTTCTGATGGTGAAATTCCAGCTTTTTTGATGGTGAAATTTTCGGGATGATCTTTGGGGAACGAACAAAAACCACCAGCTATGACCTGTTGGGTACCGTAGCTGGGTAGCGGCTATGGGTTTTAAGCCGTAACCATATGAACCCTCAGAATTGGGTTGGTTTTGTTTGTAAATCATGGTTAGCATATTATGAATATCAAGGTTTTTGGTTCAAGAGAAAAAACTGTTAACATGCATATGATATTCCAAGATATGCTTTGGTTAACTCCATTTGGATATGCTAACGGTATGATATCATCATGGTTAACATATCCATTTGGTTGAGAAACGGATTTGTCTGAAAATGAATATGATATTCCAAGATCCACTGGATTTCTCATCATTTTCCCCTTTCCGCAGTAAATATATGCAGGTTTCCAATGTGGGTACCCCAATAGCTAGATGGTTTATTTCATGGAAAATGCCATCAATCAATGGATGATTGAGGGGTACCACCCATTTTGGGAAACCACCATATATATATATGGATATATGGATATATATATATATCCATATATCCATATATATATATATGCTTACACCCTGAAAAGAGAGACAGGATTGGTGGTTTCTCAATCAGCTCCAATGTCCATTGGGGATCCATATGACAATTCCAGGACTTGACACGTTGGACCCGTCCGAGGCGGGATCCCTTCTGGGCGAGCCGTGGCAGTCGGGTCACCCAATTTTTGGAGAGCAGAAATGGAGGAATTCAACTACCCTCTGGTAATTTGTTACATAGCTATTGAAAATCACCATTTATAGTGGATTTTCCCATTAAAAATGGTGATTTTCCATAGTTATGTTAGTTTACCAGAGGGTACCATGATGAGCATATGATGAACATATTCACTTCTGGATGATGTTTTGATGATTTCCAATTTCAATTGATTCATTCAATTCATTCCCTGCCCTTTTTTTCAGCAGGATGGACGCTATGTGGGCCATGGCCAGTCACACCTTGATTTTAAGTTGCGAAATCTTGGGACGAAAAAGTCGCTAAAGTCTGTTTTTTCATGGGGAAAATGATTGGTAAATCCTTGGATTTTGGGTGTTTTTGAAGGATCTACTACGCAAAGTTTAGTGACAAGCTTCAGCAAAAACAACACCAAAAACATCAGATGATATGCCGTGGATCTCACATATCCATATCCAACACATATCCATCATATATCCATCATCCCACTAAAATAGTGTAGTTTTTTTCAATCTCGGCAGAAGAAATCTGGGGATGGGTCAAGCTACCAATGAAATTACCTCAAGACAGGGGGAGTAAACATCCATAAGCATCCATAAATCCAGGCTAGCCTCTGCTAAACGTTTACATCAATCACTATGGACAAATCCACCATTTTTTCGTGGGTAAATCAAGGATTTTCATGGGCCATGGCTGAGCCATGAGCATCATGAGCTGTTCAGATCACCTGAGGCCCAAGATCTATGGCATCCTGTCCTTTGTGGTGGAGATCTCCTTAGTGTCGCGCGGCGCCGGGAGATCTTGGGAATTTTCCACCCTGGGTTTTCGCCTTGATGGGGGACTGAGGGAAGCTGCGCACCCTTGAAATGTTGGGAAAATGCTGCGACCCCCTCAGGGAAAGGATCATATCATGGTTTCATTCATGGGAAACCCCAGATCTTTTTGGATGTTGGATGGTCGCTTACGCATTTTGTTTACTGAGTTTGCGGGGGCATTTTTCCCATGAAAACGTTTTTTTTTTATCATCTAACATGGAGGTATCATGGGGATAGAATGGGTATAAAACCAATGATGATCTGGTGGATTTCAAAGATTTGTTCGTTTTCAACCATACTTAGGGATGATTGATTGAGATGACGAGCATACTTTTGGGACAGGTTTAAAGTTGGCAAACCTATATACTGTTAAAGCATCCGAAAAACGATATAAACTGGCAATGGCCAAGACAACTCAGACAGATGATCATAGATTGGTATTGGATGTTATTGGTACAATGTGGTCACCCCCACTTATGTTTGTTGGATTGTAATTCTCATTAACTCACATCGACCATAAATCCAATCATTCGCGGAGTTATGCTTACCGGCTAAGCTAACTCTGGTTCAATATTTTTTTAATTCTCTCTCTCTCTCTCTCTCTGGGTTTTGACTCAAAGTAGTGCCAGTTGAAAAAACTCTTTTATTTTGGACACAGTAGACCATGGTACATTAGAACTATTTAGGGTACCATGTGTTATTTTCGGTTTATACTATTAAAATATGGTCTAAAAAAGAGCCTTAAGCATCAATGGTACAGTCACTGAGCAGTCCTCAGTAGACCTTGGTTTACTAACGACTTACATCCGCCATAGATGGGAGCATCGGCAACAATTGATGCCTTGAGTCACTAACCATGGTACCATGACATGGGACCACTCCAAGTAAGGAAAATATATCAGTAGAGATTCACAGTTTAATGATCATAATTCCTACTATGAAATGTAGTATATTCTACTGAATGATATCATTAATGATAGTATATCAGATTCACAGTTTAATGATCAGTAGTTTTAATGATCATAATTCTAGTATATTCTGGTACTCAACTATGAAAAACATTGTGAAAACCACGTGATTTTTGGGGTGGCAAAAAATCTCATCAATAGAAAAGGCCGCCCCACGAGCCAGGCCCCAAATTCCACGAGGGCTCTGGCGAACAATTCCACACGGAACAAGCTGATGACATATGAAAAACAACATGCGAATGAATGCGAATGGATGAAATAATACGGAAATAATAGGGACGTGATAGGGAAATACTGGGGAAATAATAGGGGAAAGTAGTACCGACTCACTCATTAGGGGTATTTTTAGTGATTGATAATCAATTTTTAGTGATCTAATCATTAGTGGAAATCAATCACAATCATGACTGATTGGTGGTTTGGAACATGGCTTTTATTTTTCCATAATATATGGGATAATTCTTCCCAAATTGACTAATATTTTTCAAGATGGTTAAAACCACCAAGCAGATGAAGACTCTGTTCAAAAACAAGCATCAACAATCAGCAAATTCATCATCAGTAAGCAGCTGAAAAATCAGCAAAACAATCATCAAACAGCATTTGTTCAATCATGAACAGTCATTACCCTCTGGTAATTTAACATAACTATTGAACATCACCATTTTTAATGGGTAAATCCACCATAAATGGCCATGTTCAATAGCTTTTTGTATGTTTACCAGAGGGTATGTTAATATCTTTATATAATCATCAACAAACGTCCAGATGTTCCTTCATCATCAGTGCCTTCCTTTTGGCCTCAGGCAGCGGATGATGCAGGGCGCCTTTGACGAAGGTCGTTCCGCCACGAAGAACTACCAGCTGCTGTTGGTCGGAGTCCGGCTGGGAGACGAGCTGGTCGTTGTGCAAGTCCCGCAAGTCCCAGAATGGGGGATAGTGATGTATAGTGAAGATGTTAATAGAATAAGAACAATAACATTCAATAGTCGGAACAAAATAGTAATAATATAATAATACTAAGTAATATGATTTATATACTATATTAATATTGGTCAATACCAATATATCATACTCTTATGTAGTATGAATATTAATATATTTATAATAATATTGACAATGATAGTCATGATCAGAATAGGAATAGCCCTCCGGGGTCATCTAGCCTAGCCATGGAACACCGATGAAGGTACAGTCGTGATTTTCCACGGGATGCCTTGCTGCACTTTCAGGATGATTTAAAAAAAAATCCTATAGATATGATGTGTATAGAAATAAACATGGATAAACTATAAATGCACACTTACCATACTGGATATTTCTAGATATGGTGGTTTCCAGAAATGGGGGAATCCCCAATAGCTGGATGGATGGTTTATTTCATGGAAACCCCTATTTCAATGGATGATTCAGGGGTATCCCCATGACTTAGGAAACATCCATATGTGTAGACCGACATGTTTTCATCCTTCCCCGAACCCCCTTCGTCAGGTGGAGCATGCTGACCATGGCGGCCGTATGCCGCTGGCCATGTGTGAGCTGCAAAAGAGAGGAGATCTCCTTCATTTGCGCCTTGACTATAATAATTATTACTATTATTACAAGAATAAGCTGGTTATTGCAATGATTATGGACTATAATAATCATTATTGCAATAACAACTATAATAGTAATAATCATAATAACCTAGAAAATAAAAAACACCTGGGATTGCTGGGATTTCGAGTCCGAATTGAGACTGAACCTGGAAGAGTGGGATTTAACAAATGATGCTTCACAAGATATTTAATAGGTCACAATTATGAATTTATGAATGATGACCTCAACTCTGAACCCTAATTCCCAAGAAATGAGGAGTTCATCGGGAAAAAGCTTGGGGTTCAGCAGGAAGAATCGGGTGTCATATCGAGTTTGGGGTACCCCTTAGTATGATCCATACTATGGGTATGATGCCGGTCTAATGCATTGGAACATGGATATCTGGTTGGTGGTGACTGGAACATGTTTGTAGATATTTTTTGAATGACTTTCCAGAAACAGTTGGGAATGGAATGGAATGTCATCATCCCAACTGACGATGTTTTCTATTTTTCAGAGGGGTAGGTTGAAACCACCAAGCAGTAGATCATGGATACGGATCAATGGAACTGGGAAAATAGGATGTTCTTATGGCACATCCCAAGATACCCAGCCCCGCAGGCTGATGCTTCCACAGAAAGGATGATCAATGCATTAAAAATGGACATGAAAATGGCTGTACAACGAGTGTATACCTCTCAGTTAGAGAAGGTCTAACTTTCATATTTCTATTAATGGCATTAAGACCACACAGATTACCACGGGACGGACATGCAAAATCACCCATGTAGTATGATGAGTACCCCTATCCCATCCAATTATACTGGTTGGTTAGTAGTTATTCCTATTATATTCCTATTATATGCCTATTATATGCCTATTATATTCCTATTATATTCCTATTAAGGTTTATTATAATCTCCATTAACCCAGATAGTCTAATCCCCATGATAACGTATGAACTATGGTATTTTTAAGCGCTGCAAGTTGGGATTTTCAAAAACGCCATGACCAAAAAAGTGCCGAATCCACTTGCCTCGGGTTTATTGCGCCAAAACGAGGATTTTATCCCATGGATTTTGAGGTATGTACACCATATTTTTCACAGAAACCCAAATAAAAAACTAGGTTATGATGATTATTACTAGGTTATAACACTTCATTGAAGATCGCAGAAAAAACACTTTAGGAGCCAATTGTCCTTAGTGAACTCGACAAGTGGAATTCGCCTGCCTCCACTCACTCGACCATCGCTGGTCTGAAAATTCACCGGTAGAGAGAGAGATTCCTGTGCATCAATATCACATTTTGTTTGTATATAAACGCTTACTGCTTACGTTTTCTCCTCCAGGCTCTAAATTTTGATGGACGAAACCTGCGTTCCTGCAAATTTAGTTTGGCAACAATGTTTGCTAGTGAGAACTCCGAATCGACTACATAAGTACATCCTACAAATAATTCGCGGGCAGTTAAACACCATCTGACAATCGGAAGACCCATTCCAACAAATTAGAATATGTCAAGAAACTTCGAACAATTCAGAAGAACAAAGACATAGAAGTTTAGAACATTGTCTGTTCACACACGGGAATTGGTCAAAATTTAAGACACCTTTCTTAACCACAGATTCGAGAATGTCTATGAGTATTGACCATCATTGACCATCATTAATCATAATGAAACCCGTCATTAACACCATCTATTGGATCTATTGGGGTAATGTGGGTAAACAATGCCATAAACCACCATGTTTATAGGTGGTATGGTTACCATTCCCAAATGGTACCCAAATCTTTAACCATGAACATTGACCATCATTAGCCATCATTAACCATCATTAACACCATCTATCTGGGTAAATTTCATCACGACCGAACCCTGTTCTCCCGAACCCTGGAATCATGTTAATAAGAGGAATTATCCCAAAATGGCCCAACATTTCAGGTTAGTGAATGATTATAATTTACCCAGACCGGTACCCAATTTTTGGGACGGTAACAAAAGGCCTACTTTGGTCACAAAACACGGTAAAAACCAGTATGTTTGACCATTTTTAGAGCAAAAATCACTCCCCCATTTTTAGGGGCCGCTACCCACTGCTCCCAGTTCCCACACCGAGGTCCAGTGTGATGGTTCGGCCGTCCTTTCGACGCCTGGGGCTGGCGCGGCAACTGCTCCGAAAAGCGCGACGCATTGCCAGGCGATGGCGGTGCCAGGCAACGAAGGGTTCTCCCCACACCCCCCCCTTCTGCATGCCGCAACGAAGATCAACGTAACAACATCTTTGCTCTAGCGCAGTTCAAAGGACGTTAATACATACCCCCCCTCCACCCCCCCCTTCTGTATATTAGAAGATCAGAATCAGACATGTATTTTTGTATCGCAAGACTCAAGGTTCCTCGATGTTCCGGTAAACCTCAAGCCTCTCCCCTATACATATATATATACATATATATATATGTACATTTATATAAATACACATGTATACACACATATATTTACATACATATAAGAATATAATACAATAACAGAATTGGGGACCAGACGTCGAAAAAAACAAATCCATCAAGTCCTGCAGGTGATTTTTCATTTTGAAGCCGTGGAAAGACCGACCTTCGCATCCCGAGGAACGCACGAGCAGTGAAACAAAAACCCATTTGTTAATTAGCCTCTGGTAACTTCACACTTTGCTATGTAAAATGTTTTTTTTTTTTAATCGATGATTTCCTAAAATTGGTAATTTTCAATAGCTATGTCAAATTACCAGAGGGTATAGGGGGTTCAAAAACTGGTCATTGTAGGGGCGCGTCACCTGACTGGTTTCATGGATTTCATGGGGATTTTGATAAGCCATAACAAGGACATCTATCAACCACCTAGCACAATGATTTGAGATAGGGGTATACTAGTCAATATTGTGATTTACAATAGGTGAGTTCCCTATTTTTTAAAATATATATATGTACAACAGTTCATATCTAGGCCCTAGGCATAAATTATGAATTTGGGGATTTTCCCATATCGCAATGTTATCCCGCAGGCTTCTGATGGTTTTTGACATGCTGTGACTTTCCAAGAGGTTTTTGACACTGCTCACCGCTCGCACCCGATTGGAAGTCAAACTGCTGGAAAACTCGAAGTTGAAATTGGACGGCGCTGACGGAATTTCCAAGCATGTCGAGTGGAAGTTGAAGCTACGAGTTGTGGGCTGTATCCCAGCTATAATAGCTATACAGTAAGTGAGTAAAGTCACACCATTGACCATGAAATACCCCACTTAGACTTAGATTGCTGGAATAGATGGGATGTATGTTCACCACTTGTGATGCCTGGGTTTCACACATCCAAGTAGTTTTTGTTCTTTTTGTTTTGCATGAAACTTGCCAGTAGGCACTGGCTGGTACTGTCTCCTACTTCGAAATGCATCCCAGTTCGTAAGTAGTCAATAATCCATTCATCCAACTGGACATATTCCAATCTATTCCAATCTGTTCCAATCTATTCCTATCTATTCCACTATTCTTCAACCCCCAAAAAGATGCCGACAAGTTGGAAGCGGGAACACATCATCTTGGATCTAAAGAGGGGGGTAGCATATTTACAAAGAGAACCATAAAACTATTTTAAGGGAAACATTTACCATGTTAGAATAGAACTCGGGCTTAATATTCATTCTTATATCTGAGGGGAGATCCCAGTTACCACTGACATTAGGGATTGACACAGTGACACAGTCTTTAGGATGCTTTTTTAGAAGCCCATCAAGTCATGTGGTAAATCCCATAGTAACCTTTAGTAAACCCAATGCCATTTTTATCATCCCCGACATTGGGACCGTATGTTCGCAGGGGGATGATGGTTGGATGTTGACCCAGTCAGATGATAGACCGATGAGACATCCTCCCTCTCACTGATTCGACATCAGGTGAGTAAAGCCGCAACATATCCATGTGAATCTGTGGAATAGGTGGCCCCTTATCTGCGATAGATATCCTCACTTCAGGGGTCATTCAATCAGCAATTTCCATGGCGAATCTATATATATATATAATCATAAATATATATATATATATATATCCTCAGCCCCACAAAAGGATATGCATCCCACTTCGGATCTGGGGCTTATTCCATTCATCTAACGGTGTTTTTGTTCACCCATTTACCCTGTGGTAATTTAACATAGCTATTGAAAATTGCACATAGAAATAGTTGATTTACCTATTCAAAATGGTGGATCTTTCCAGTTCGCAAAGTGTTAGTTTACCAGAGGGTACTGAGTGGGATGTTGTGTGAAATTTCGTTTAAATTTCATCTCCCTGAAACTGATCGTCGGGCGGCCAGCGTAAGTTCATTTTTGTCGAATCCCCAAATGGAGGGTTTCCTAAAATATAGGTACCCCAAGCTCGCTGGATGGTTTAATTCATGGAAAATCCCATCTATAAATGGATGATGACTGGGGGTACCCTTTTTTTTGAGGAAACCCCCAAATTGCACCTACTCTGTTTTTTCTTCCCAATCTTCCGAGTTCCAACCAGATTTTTCGGCATTTTTGCTCCGCTTTTGACGGAGGCGATCCAGTTGGACGTCGATGAAGAGAATCTGCCTGCCTTGCGGCTGTTTTTTGGCGATCGCTGGAGGTTTCCGTGGAGGTTTCAGAAGTCATGGGGATACCCCCAGTCGTCACAATGGGTTTCCATACAAAGAAACATGATCCATGACGACTGAACGGTTTGGGGTAGGCCTATGACTTAGGACTTAGGACCCCCCAAGTGCAATAACTTGCTGAAAACTGTTGGGTTGAGAATATAGCTTTTTGTAGTTCATGGGGTTATAAACCAACATTTGCCTGCATGGGCCCACATTGTGGGATAAATCGAATTAAATCGGGACTTGAAGTTTTAACCCATAGGACTTGTTGGGGAAGCTGATGATTCGCCGCTAGATTTTGGGAGGCCACAGTAGCTGAACAATTTAAAAGGCCACTGTGCCACGTTGATATTGGGGAAGCTGATGATTAGTCACTGGAATTGGTGAATAAAACCACAATCATACTGCATATGAGACGGGTTTTTTTCGGGTTTTTGTCTGGGATTTGGGGGATTTACCATGGGATTTCGCCTCAATTCAGGGCCACGTTACCCACGTTGATGTTTTGGACATGATTTTTTTTGCTGGCATAAAATGGAGCCTCAAATCCATGATTTTTTGGAGGATTAGCCACATTGGGGTGGGGATTTCGAGAGGGAGTTCCATGTGCTCATCGATATACAACATATGATGGGTGTGAAAACCATGCTGCAGATGGATTAGTTGGATTTTTCTATGCAAACTGTAGCTGATGGTTTTGTCTCAAATTAGAAAAATTAGAGGAGACCTCAACAAATGAGCAGGGTTTTAAAATCCTCACCCTTATATTGGGTGGTCATTTCCGGATTTCCCAGCTCCTTGATTGTGATAGCCCCTGAAAATTGGATAGCATGGACGCAGATTCAATATTGAGTCATTTTCTCGAAAAAGTCAGTATAATAGAACCCAAACAAAAATCATCAACCTCAAAAAACCAGTTACCCTCCGGTAAACTAACATAATAACATATAATAACTATGGAAAATCAGCATGTTTAATGGGAACATCCACTATTTCTATGGTCATTTTCAATAGCTATGTTTGACATAACCGGAGGGTATCAACCAAGAGGGTTCCAGCTCTCCAGCGCTCGGGGATGAACCCGACAAAAACATGGTGGTTTAAGATAGTTTAAGCATGAGCAATGCTGGTTTAACATCGGTCCAACCATGACATATATAATATTGTATAATATATATATATATTATAACATATATATATAATATTATAAGTACATGAGTTACATGATGATTTCACAGCCCTTCCTTTATAAAATTAGTTCCGCAAGGTACAAATCGATGGGTTTCCGCCAGCATGGCTGGACCCCTGTCGCTTGGAGCTGGGCGGAGCTGGGCCGCCAGTACCATGGGTCCTCTGGTATACCCGGCCTGGTTATGTCAAACATAGCTATGGAAAGTGGCCATTTTTAATGGGAAAATCCACTATAACTGGTGATTTTCAATAGCTATGGTATGTATCTGGGTAAATATTTATAGTTGATTTTCCCATTAAAATGGTGATGGTCAATACTCACTATATGGTTGATGGTCATCCCATCCATATTAAGGATCCTGAATTAATGGTTATTATAAATCCCTATGAACCATTGAAAATGGCCCAGTCGAAATAGTTGATTTTCCCATTAAACATGGTGATTTTCCATAGTTATGTTAGTTTACCAGAGGGTATATGTTTTTTAAGCCTATTTGGAGGTTTCCATAAATGGGGGTACCCCAAAATGGATGGCTTAGAATGGAACATCCTATTCAAATGGATGGTTTGGGGGTACCCCCATTTTTAACCTCCATTTGTCAAGCCAAAGACACAAACCTCTAATTACATATGATATAAATACTGGTTGGTGGTTTGGAACCATGGAATTTTATGACTTTCCATTCAGTTGGGAATTTCATCATCCCAACTGACGAACTCATATTTTTCAGAGTGGTAGGTATACCACCAACCAGATGTAAATGGAAATACCTCCATCTAGGATTTATAGGGATATAATTGGGATCTAATGGAAAATAAAATGGGACATACCCTCTGGTAACAAAAAACGATGGAACATCACCATCTTTCATGGGTAAATCACTGATTTTCATTGGCCATGGCTTCAATAGCAAACTGTAACAGATTACTGGAGAGTAGCTCGGTAGCCTCCAGAACCAACCAGCAATCAAACATGGCAATGTAACATCTCCCATTTTAATAGAGGATGGTGCCCCCAAGATAGCTAAGTTGCCTTATAAGTGGCTGAATTCTATGGTTTATGGTAGATATAACGAACTAGTTCATGCGGGGTTTGTTATGGTTTATAAACCAAAAAACATCCTATGGGGACCCCATCCTGTAGAGGTATTTTGCCCTTTTCGGGGGATTTCCCAGACATGTTTGAGTAGGGTATCGATGGAGAAAACCTCCACTTCTTTCCATCCCTGAAAACCAACTCTTGGTGAACTTTTATTTCTGACAACATGAATCATGAATTTGCTGGATGGCTTCATGTTGAGTGAAAAAAACATAAGTATTTGATAGTGCAGTAAAATCAACTCTATTTTTGGAGCGAATCAGCAGCGAAGATGTGGATTTTGTGCATCTTGGGAGATCTCACTATCGCAGGGAATTGACCCCCACAATGGAAGGTTCCACCAGCGAAGCAGCTGGGAATTTAGATCATTCATGTGGCAGTGTGTCAAAACCTTGTACCCCTGGTGAACATCAAAATAGCTGGTAAATGGATGTTCATTCCCCTAAAAATGGTATCAATAGGTATTGATCCATACCCATGTGATTGTACGTTGATATGGGCGTCAAATCTCAACTTGTGTGTTTAGAGTCCCCATTTGTTGGTGCATATATCTATGCAGGTAGACTCCGGATGCAGGGAACATCCAGAATTGTGCAAGCAAAATCATGAATAAACTAGCCAAATTTGGGAATGGTAACCATACCACCTATCTATGGTGATTTTTGGGATTTTAACATATTTTAACCACATGATGTCAAAGCTTCAAAACCAAGGTTTGCCAGCTGGAACTGGAAGCTTTGCTGAAGGCTAAGCCGAGTGAGCGCTACCGCCTTACACTTGAAGACCTGTGCCATGACCGCGACGACATGGCGCAGGCGACTTTTCGGGAGATCATCATGGAAAATGGCCCATTTATAGATGATGTACCGAACTTAAAAATGGGTGGATCTTTCCATGGCAAACTGTCAAATAACCAGAGGGTATAATGCATCATAGATATATATGTATATGTATATAGGGATATATATATATATAGGAATAAGTAGGAATAAACAAAGGGATATTTTTGTGGATAGAATTGATAAATGATGGCTGGTTGATGATTAGCTCGGGGATTTTACGACCCTTGATATATTGGGGACTTTTTCATAATCCAAGAACGGGGAATCCCGAAAAAAAACAACTGGTATTTCATGGAATGACAGAGGGGTTTTGAACACTGCTCATGTTTAAAAACTGGAGCCAAAAATAGTGCTGTACAGTAGAAATAAAGTAGTAGGGCGTATTGATGGGTTAATCCACTTGAAAAAGCCACAATTCTGGAGGCGATGTGTTTGGGAAGTGTATCTGGAGGTTTTTAGATGTTTTCACTATTAAACAATCCATTTGGAGAGTCGGAGGTTTCCTTACATAGGGGTACCCCAAATCATCCAAAATTAGACCATGACTTAGTATTGAAACCTATGGTCTTGGGGGATCCCCCGTTTTAAGACACTTGCATTTGGAGAGTTGATGCTTTTGACACCAATATTTCCAGATGTAGCGGATGCAGGTGGGATTTAGAGAATAAAACTCGGGCCTTGCCAACTTTGAGTCGAATGCTTGGAGAAGTGCTTGGAGGATCATAGTGGCAGTGGGATACAGGCAGATTGATGGTTTCAATTCTCCAGTTTTTGACCCCCAAAAATTGGGCGACAACTTTCAGGCAAAATTCAAGGGAACGAGCTGGGGCTCTGAGCTTTCAGGCTCTAGATCGTTGGATCTGTAAGATGGCTCTTCTAACGGGACTTGGAGCGTTGGAAGCAGGTCTGAGATGCTGGGACTCTTTCGCCGCCAATCTGTCAAAAATTGGACAGGCACAGTTGAACCAACAAACAGGTTCCACCAGCAAACCTTGTTTTTTTAAACCAACAAAGGAGTAACATTAGTAATTAACATACATGGGATGTGAAAAGCAGCCAAAGTTGGAACACGAACCAGCAGAAAGAAAACAGAACAAGAGATAAAAACCACTGGACCAGAATAACTCGACAAGCGAGGCTGAAATGAATCTGCAGCAACGGCCAACATTGTTAATTTTAGGTCAACTACATCCTTGGCGAAATCCACCTGAGCCACGTTCTTCAAACATTTTTGCTGAAGTTCCAGTCTTAAATTTTTTAACTTGGCAAGAATATGTCGTGTTTTTTCTCGAAAAACAACTAACAGTTCAACAACCAATTCATTTTACCTCAGGAAAAACATGCTAAAACCATGGTAAAACGACCATGGTAAAACGACTGAACAGTTGGTTGATTCATCCGCCAGGACGAAGAAAAGGTGGCTCCTAGAGCCTCGGAGCTGGTGGTGGAACTGGGTAGCTGGGCGCAAGGTGAGGAAATGTGGAGCAAAAACCAGAAAGGACAATGGTCACAATGGTGATTGATCCAGGACTGGTTGGCGGTTTGGAACATGTTTATACATGTTTTTATGACTTTCCATTCAGTTGGGAATGGAATGTCATCATCCCAAATGGCCGCACTATTCAGGTTAGTGAAATATTATAATTTACCCAGTTATTATACATTTATGGATCATATATCCCATCTAACTGTAACATATCCCATTAACTATAGTTATATCTACTATATCCCATGGCCCATAGCTATTAGAGATACATATCATCCATATATCTGGGTAAATTATAACGATCTCACGTCGCGACCGAACCCTGGAAATCATGGTTAGTAAGGGAATAAGGGAAATGATCCCCATAAATGGCCGCACTATTCAGGTTAGTGAAATATTGTAATTTACCCAGATACATGTTTTTATGACTTTCCATTCAGTTGGGAATGGAATGTCATCATCCCAACTGACGAAGTCCATCATTTTTCAGAGGGGTAGGTATACCACCAACCAGAAGAACAATGGGGGATTTCCATGGGATTAAGAACCCCACATCTTTGGGGTTCTTGTTTTTTGTTGTGCACTCCCGGCCGTCGCCTTGCCTTGCCTTCCCTCGCCTTCCTTCCAACTCTCTCTCACACACACACAACTCTCACACACAACTTAATCACAACAACTTACTCACTCACACACACACACACACAAAACTTTCTCACATTTTACTCACACACACACAACTTACTGCCACACACACACACAACTCTCTCACACACACAACTTTCTCACACACAACTTACTCACAACAACTTAGCGCGGCTGTTTGTGTGGCAGGCCTGGCATTCGGAAGCATCGGCCTCCGTTCTGTGTGGCAGGCGGGGCACTTGGCGACATCGACCTGCACTTTGTGTGGCAGGCGTGGCACTTATGGCACTGGGCTGGCTCTGGTGGTGCGTGGCACTTACGCTGGGCGTGCTCTGGTGGTGCGCTTGGTTTCCCGTGGACGCCGCTGCTGTTTGTGTGCGTGGCATTCGGAAGCATCAGCCTCCATTCTGTGTGGCAGGCGTGGCATTTGGCAACATCGCCTTTACTTTGTTTGGCAGCCGTGGCACTCATGGCACTGGGTTGGCTCGCGCGGTTGGTTTCCCGTGTCCTGCCTTTCCCATCCCGTCTTCAACTTTCCTTTGCTACTTAGTGGAAGACGTTGACATGTGAGCCATGGTCAATACTCACTATATGGTTGATGGTCATCCCATCCATAATAAGGATCCAAAAATAATGGTTATTATAAATCCCGAGTGGAACCATTGGATGACTAGCCCCGTTTTTAATGGTTATTAACCATGAGTATTGACCATAGCTCATGTGGGGTTATTCGCTCCTTTAATTTGCTGATTTTTGTGGCTAAGTTGACGCATAGCCAGAACACTGGAAAAAAATCGCCTTGGAGGCGATCTTTTCGCCGTCGGTGATGGAAGGTCACCAATGATTCCTAGTGGGAAATAAGAAAAATAGGGGAGACCACCAAGCTTAATGGGGACATACCACATACATGGTGGCTTTTGATGGGGGATATGCTGTGGAATTTACCCTACTAGTTCCTTAGGTCGGGTGGGGCCTATCTAACTATGCTTAGATATCCACTAACTGGAACCGCAGCCCCAAGTAGAGCAAACCTTGGATGTTTTCAGAGGCTGCCTTTTTTTTACTAGAATTTCACTCCAATTTCGCTAGAGACGAGTGACTCTTGAAGGTTACATACTGTTACATACAAATGGATACACGTGGAACAATTAATTTGTTTATTACTGAGAATATTCCTTCCCCTAATGTTCAATACTCCCGTCAATGGTCCCCCAGAAGGAATAGATCCGATACAGGGGTGGTCTGGTGAAGCGTGGGTTATTCACATGTTTTCACATCCATCCCGAAGGATTTTGATGTTTTGTTCTACAGGGGATTTTACAATACTTACAACATCTTACAACTACTGTTTGGGGGATGACAATCCATAAATCTCAACATATCCCAACGATTTTGAGGTTTTTTCATGTTTTTTCTGGGCAAAAAAAGGTGAATTGACCCATCCCTATCTACCAGAATCTACCAGATCCGAGTGAAAGACACAGCTGGGTCCTGAGGTCAGAGAATCTCGTACCAGGCCAAGGGACCAAGGGAAGGATTTTTTGCTTTCCCACCAGGGTCAACTTGTCAACTGCTGATGGTGCTGGAAATTCCACACATGACTGTTGGATTATGTTACCCTCTGGTAAACGTTTACATAACGAACTGGAAGATCACCATTTTCTAGCTGGGAAAATCCACTATGTCTATGGCCATTTTCAGCGAACTGTAACAAATTACCAGAGGGTAGTTTATCCTATGGTAGCAGCTGGTAGAAATAGAAATGACATGAAATAGAAATAGTGTGTGAAAAAATCTGTTCACACTTCCCATTCTTGCTGAAATCAGCACAAAATTGTGCCCAGTCACCTGAGTCACCTTGGCAGTCACCTGGCTGCCCTCCCAAATCCTCCATCTACCTGCCACAATCATCGATTCATAGAGGATTTTCCCAAGAAAATCGCTATTTCCCATGGTATTTCCAGACATTTTTTAACTGTGACCGGAGGGTGATGGCAGATCCAATGGTCTGGTCAGTGTGTAGAACTGAGATTTGCTCAGTTCTCGCGTCTGTCTGATCCTGATTTTGGGCCTTCCCTCAGACATTGGTGTCATTGGTGTCCTGAAATGGGGATGGAATGATATGCGAATTGCTGAACATCAGCGACATCAGTCACTGCCCCCAGTCCCCAGGAGGCGCTTTGGCGCCTCATTTACCAGCTGGTTATGACATTCACAGTTTGCCATGGAAAGATCCACCCGTTTTTAAGAACGGTAAACCATCTATTTCGATTAGGGCCATCTATTAACCATGGCTATGTTAGTCATAACCAGATGATACCCGAATCATCCCCAATGTTTTTCTTTTCAAAACTGATCACGGACCACTTCCAATCCGACAGGATTGCGTGGCTTATTTTTAGACAAATCCGAGTGGCCACTGATGTCCAAAAAAATCCAATAGATAGATACGAATCATCATTTTACCAAAGCGACCCTCAATTTGTTTCCATATTTTTCCTATTTCAGGAGATTATTGCCAAGTAGGTAAACTGGTTCCAAAGAGAGGCCCAGTTTGTCTACGAACTTTGGGCTATGAACTTTTGCGCCTTTTGCGCCGGGTGAAGCACCCACAGCAGGATCATGCTCATGATGCCAAGTCACTTTTTTTTTAATGAGGTATTTTATGTATACATGATATATTATGTATACATATCATATCCCATAGGATCCATGGTGCTGGTATATATGCAAACATTTGGCGTATATTGATGGGATCCATGTTACCATATATAGCATACATGGATCCTATGTGTTATATATTATGTATACATATCATTTACATATATATATATATATATAAATAAATATTATATATATCTGGGTAAATTTCATCACGGCCGAAGCCTGTTCGAAGCCGGTTCTTTGGGTATGGTGAGGATTTGGGAAATCATCCCCTTTTACGGCCCAACAATAGCGGGTTTTCATAAATGGGGTACCCAAAATGGATGGTTTATAGTGGAAAATCCTATGAAACTGGATATATCATGATATAATAATGGTTGGTGGTTTGGAACATTTGGATTATTTTCCATCATATATGGGATGTCATCCTTCCCATTGACTAATATTAAAACCACGATCCAGTATATAAATATCCATAAATGATTTGGCTGATATTCTTTACTGCCCAGTTATGTTCCAAAAGCTTCATAACTCTAAGTATAATTTATAGATATATCATGACATATTGATGTATCCAGCAGAAGTACTGTGGGAAAACAATGCCATAAACCACGCATTTGGGGATGGTTTATACCACCTATCAAAATGGTGATGACTGGGGGATGGTTTATGACACTGTTTTACCCACATTACTTGTTTTTTAAAGGGAGTCAAACTGGAAATATGGGTGATTATCAACTAACGCATAGTAGGGAAACCTATCTAGTCTAACATTTTTGGGATATTCATGTGTCCAACAGAAGTACTGGTTATTTATTACACCAACCTACACCTGGCCCTGGCCCTGGCCCTGGCGGCCCCGACGAGCCTAGCCGCCACGCCTCTCGTCAGGTCCTTTTGGGCCTTAGCCTCTCGTTGTTTGGAGCCTTCGGAGCCTTCCTGCTCGGGATGCGATGAAAAAAGGGGGAACAGACATGGGACCAAGAAACAGATGGGCCATGAATTCCATGGGAAATTCTATGTTACCATCTGGTTATGACTAACAGTTTGCCATGGAACATCAGCATTTTTAAGAACGGTAAACCATCTATAAATGGGCCATGGCTTCCATGGCTATGTTAAATAACCAGAGGGTAAATATTGTTAAATTATAATTTCCATTTGAAATGAGGCGCCAAAGCTACATGGGGAATGGTTAGTGACTGACGTTCAGCAATTCTTCGTTGAGGAAAAGTCATGCATGGCCAAGCTAGGTACGGACATGATCTCACAACAATTGGAGATATCACTAGATAGAAAAGCCAGGTGAGATATAATTGTTACAGCAATTGACCTCCCAAAAAGATAGAGACATCATATATTCCTGCTTGAACAATACACACTCTGGTTGGTGGTTTGGAACATTTGGATTATTTTCCATCATATGCTGGGGATGTCATCCTTCCCATTGACGAACTCCATCATATTTTTCAGAGGGGTAGGTATACCACCAACCAGCACTAATACAGTAAATTTACCATCAATATACCCCAAACGTTAGCATATATACCAGCACCATGGATCCTATGGGATATAGTAAAACAAATTCAAGTGCTGTAGACACCACAACTCATGCCACGTTAGTCACCGTCTGGCGACTCTGGGTAAAGAACAACATCACCACCGCGACCGTCGCGA